AAAACACACAACAACACAAGAACCTAAAAATATTAACAGAAATCCGGTTCCAGTAGATTTCCTTTACAGAAACAGAGTCATCCTATAAAAAGTCTAAGCCTTAGACTTTATAGTGAGAGAGAGAGAGAGAGACCCAAAACTATGGAGAAGAAAGACGAACCAAATTGGAGCGAACAAGTAGAAGATCTTGTCGCATCCGGCGACGTCACAGCAGCGATCTCGTTTCTCGAATCTTTAACAACCAATCTTCAATCACAGCTCTGTTCTTCTTCTTCTTCATGAGTTAGGACTTCAGTTATCATCCGCTCTAACCCAATTAGTGAATCTCTACTCTTCCCAGGGACTCTCCCTCAAATCAGATGAGCTTCTCACTCGCTCTTCCCTTGTAAAGCAACGAACTTTAGACTCCGATCTTGTTTTTTGAAGGTAACTACATACCTCATACCTTACCACGTTAGTAAGGATTTGGTCCTTATAACCTGTCAGTTAAGAATCAATCCTTCACAAACCAAGACTAGATAATTTTTTTCTATTCCAAAAGTGTTAAGGACTAACACTAAGGACTCACTAATTTTACCGTTGCAGCTGCTCTCAGATAACTAGTCAACTTTTAAAGATAAAGTGATGCCGTAGAAAAAAAACATACAGCCAGCATATCATCTCTCTTATAAGAAGTTATAATAACTATTTTCATCAAACGTTGCACAAAAAAAAAGTTGCACAAAAAAAAACTATTTTCATCAAACAGTCTTATAATAACCATGATATTATAAAAGTCACATTTGTCTATTGTTAGCGTTGTTCTTTTAACTGTAAACTAGATCTTGACCCGCGCACCGGCGCGGGTTTAACTTAATTTGAGAAAATGTAATAAATTCAGAACTCATCGATTATTACTGTATTTAAGATATTGTGATCCACGTTGTATGTGAACTATCATATTGAATATAATAGGACTGGGTTGTGATTTTCGGTTCAGCTTTTATTAGGTTCTTTACGTTCTTAGTTTTTTTAGTTCTAGAAACATAGAAACTGTTTGTTTATCTATATAAATTTATTTGTGTCCGGTTCAATTTTTCGAATCAAAAAATTCGACCCGANCAAATCTTTGTAACAATAAATACCAGATCTTATTAAATATTGATATCTATGTTTCCAAACTTACTTATTTTAAATACTGCTATCCATGTTTCCAAACAAAAGGTTAAAGTACTTCTACTTTAATAAGATAGATTAAATACTGCTATCCATGTTTCCAAACAAAAGGTTAAAGTACTTCTACTTTAATAAGATAGATTTTAGTGTTTAATTTCATTTATATTTGAACCGTTATTTTTTGGATATAAAATAATGACAATTTGCATTTCCGAGTTATTTCCAGGACAAATGTCTTGTTAGATATATAAAGTTGACTCAAACTACAGGAATCTATGTCATATTTGCACGTGACATATCGGACAAAGGAAGAAAATATGTCTCAAATCACTCAAAAATGTCCACCAATCTGTTTCTTCATTTATCTTATTTACCAAAAGACGGATGGGCTTCTATGTTGTAACAGGGCCCATATAACAAAAGTCATATAGCAAACACAAAAGCCCATGAAACATTTGCTAACCAGTGGCACCACAAAAAAATTAAAAACGTTTGCAGTTTTTTTTTTTGTAACATGAAAACGTTTGTAGTTAGAGCATCTCCAATGTATTACCCCATTTTCTACTCTAAAATGGAGTAATTTCAAAATGCAGTTGAATTTTACTCCAATGTATTACTCCATTTTCTACTACAACCTTTCATTTATACTATTTGCAAAACAGTCCATTTTAAATTTATAGCATTTCTATTAAATACAATATTAATCAAAATTAAATTTTTATTATATAAATAAAAATACTCAACAAGGTTTTAAAAGAATACATTTAATACATTAAAAATTACATTATATAGCTTAAACACAATAATACATCAATTCTAAATTATTCATTAGAATTATAATAATTTTCCCACAAATGATCAACTAATACATTTCGAAGTAAAAAATGAGCTTCTTTATCTTTGATTTCTCTGAAATGGGAAAGAAATTTTGGAACGTCACATTATTATTTTCTTCAATTTCAATTTTCCTTGACAGGACTTCTCTTTCAACTTCAATTGTCACCTAGAGATCACAATCATCTTCTATTATCATGTTATGTAAGAATTTAATAATATTTTATCGGATTATTTTAATAATTTTAATGGATCCGAAAATGATTTATCGAATTATTAAGCAATTATATTTGTTGTAAGTTTTATTTTATGTTATTTCTTTTGTATGGTGCTTATCTTTCATTTTCTATATGTATGATCTTTTATGTTTTATATTATATATATTATGTTGTATAAAAGAGTTCATCAGATGCTTATTTATATAATTAAAAATATTAACAGTAAATTTTAAAATATATATAGTAAAATAATATTAATATACTTATTTATAATAATATTTTTATTAAAGACGAGGCTATTTATATAATTAAGAAATATTAACAGTAAATTTTCTAATATATAGTAAAATAATATTAATATACTTATCTATAATAATATTTTATTAAAAATGAGNAATATTTTTATTAAAGACGAGGCTATTTATATAATTAAGAAATATTAACAGTAAATTTTCTAATATATAGTAAAATAATATTAATATACTTATCTATAATAATATTTTATTAAAAATGAGGCTATTTATATAATTAAGAAATATAACAGTAAATTTTATAATATATATATAGTACTTATTTATAATAATATTTTATTAAAAACGAAACATATATAAATGTGGAGGACTATTTTAAATAAAAAAAGTTTAACTCCATTTTGGAGTAATGAGTTGGTTTACTCCATATTTGGAGTAATCATGTTTGTTACTCCATTTTGGAGTAGGGTTGGAGATGATTTTACTGCAAAATGGAGTTTGGAGTAGGTTTTGGAGTGAGGTTGAAGATGCTCCTAGTAGTCATTCTTTGGTTCTGAAAGGCCTTACCCTTGATTCCTCTACTGCAAATAGAAGTTAAAAAACCTAATTACTTTTGGGTTCTACAACCATATCCTGTAGTGACTCTCTGTTAAATGAGTCTGAGACAAAACTCATGTAGAAAGAAACAGTTGTTAAGTCAAATCTCAGAATATGTGAAGCTTTTTCTTTTCTCAGACACAATCCCAACATGAAAGAGGATTGATTGTACAACGACTGCAACATGTTGTATTAAAAAAAGTAATGATTAAACATAAGCTGGATCGTTGTTGTTCGCCTTTTCTTTTACGTGGTGGTGTCTTTAAGGATGATCACTATCATGAGACCAATTATTTGTGAAATAATTTTCATTCATCCTCTAAAGAAATTGTGAGTTTGCTTGAGATGAAGAAGACTAAAATGTTCTTTACAATTTTTTTTTTGACAACGTTCTTTACATATTATCATTCTTCTTTCAAATGGCTTTGAACTCAAGCAACAATTCTTTATTCATTTCACAATTTAGTATTCTTAAATTCAAAAAGTTATATAAACTGATCAATTTCTTTTGGGTTTTTATTAAAGTAAAAAATAATGTTTTCCATGAGCCTTCAAAGTTTTATAGTGGTCGATCGACGTCGTTTTGAGTTTTGACAATTAAAAATTACTACTACTATATTATTTTAAAAGAATTATGCATTTTTCTAAAAAAGTTTGTTAACAACTCAGATATTAGAATAAAAAATTTCCTGATAAAAAATTGCTATATCTGTTGATAAAGAAAACATCACAAATTTTGAGCTATATCTATCTGACCCCACCTATTGCTATACATGGAAAATAAAGTTCTTCTTGCTTAAACCTTTTTGCAAGGACACATAGATTGAATACACAAAGAATATAGCAAACCATAAAAACTCAAAACATACATGTAACAAGTGAAAATAATATAAATTGAAATTCCTATCATAATAGTAATTGTTTGAATAAAAGCTGAAATTCTCATCATAATACACTGAGAAAAAACTTACAAAAATTCAATCATGTACATATTAGACCCATCTTTAGTGAATCATGGCCCCTTTATTGGTAATTTTAATTAACCTTAAGGGGTTTATTGGTGTAAGAATTCTAGAGTAGTTATTAAATTTGAAATTCTGTTGTTACTGGTTTATTAATTTTTAAAATCTAAATAGAATCCATTATTATTGGAGATCTCAACTTTTAAATTCCACTCAAAATTTTTTGTTACTGTAAAAATTTAATTTTCATTTATTTTAATATTCTATTAAAATCTATATTGTTGGAAATTAAATTTATTTGTTTTTACTCATAAAGCTCAAATTTGAGAATATCATCTATATCCATAATTATTTTTTGAAATCTATGTAATAAAATACACTCACTTACAAAATTGAAGAATAGAATAATACAAATAATAATTTTAACATAATACAAATCATAACTTAAAAAACAGAGAATACATATTTAAAGTTTTGAAATAAAAAGTTTCAAATTTTTTTTTTGAATTTTAAAAGATTTTTTTTTTTTTAAAAAAGACAACTTGAAAAGAAAATTTTGAATTTTTTTTATAAAAAGTTCAAATTTAAAATCATATATTTCGAAATTTTAAAAGAAAAATATTATTATTATTATTATTATTATTATTATTTATATACCTATTTGATATTTAATAAATTTACTTTTTGTTATTAATTATTTTTTCCTTTCTCATACTACCATTAATTACTTAATTTAAAAGTTAATAACAATCAAAAAAATTCTACACACAAGTCATAAATATATGTAGAATTATTTGATAAAATTTGTTAAAATCTAGTTAACGTATAAAATCTTCTCAACTATTAGAATCATCGAATTTCACAAAAAAATGATGTTTCAATAACCATCTAAATCTAATTAAAAAAGAAGAAATGATTGAGTAAGAAGATATTAATTATAAAATGATTATATTTTCCATTTCCAGTAAAATTCTTCTGAATCTCTCTTCTTCCCCATACATTCTCTCTATACTACAGTCGTCTTCCTGACCGTCCGATTCTCTGGAATCCATGAAGAAAAGCATCTTTCTTTATTTAAAATAAACACTTCACGAGGGTTGACCTGTTTCAATTCAATCCATCTCAAAACCGGATTCGATCGAAGATTCATAAAGCTTTCAACCTTTCGATGGATTTTGATAGCATGGACTGCGCTTCAACCATTGATGTAACAGATGACGAAGAGATCCATCAAGATCGCCATTCCTATGCATCGGTTTCGAAGCATCATAGTACTAATAACAGCAACACGAATGCTGCTTCTGGTCTTCTTCCGACAACCACCAGTGTTCATGAGCTTCTCGAATGTCCTGTCTGCACCAATTCTATGTACCCTCCTATTCATCAGGTCTGTTTCAATCTCTTCTTCTCCAGATCTTTTCTTTGTTAATTGGTTTTAGGGTTTTCGTGTGCCTCTTGAGAAAACATTGCCAAATCTATAAGCTTTTTGATTGCCTCTTTTTAGAGAATTTTCGGACAAAACTATTGGAGTATGATTTCTATATGACTTAGGAAATCATACGATATGTTTTAGATAAGATTTTATATGTTTTTCCTATTTAGCTTTGGCTTTATCTTTTCCCAAACTACAATTTGTCAAAAACACTTAAAGCTCTGTTTCAATTTCTTATTGTCTGAAATTCTGAATTTGCGCTTCTGTAGATTGCTTTGAGAGCTTTGCCAAAGATATAATAAGCTTTTGATTGTGTCTTTAGAGAATTTTCGGACAAAACACTTACACTAGGGTTTGGTACTCTGTTTCAGTCTCTTCTTGTCTGAATTTGCCCTGTTTTTTTTTTTTTTAGTTCCTGGATCTTTGCTCTGTTGATACTTGATAGGTTTTAGGGTTTTGCCAAAGCTATAAGCTTTTTGATGATTGTCTCTTTGCTTACACACAATGATTTTGATTATCCTTCTACAGTGTCACAATGGACATACTTTATGTTCAACTTGTAAAATTAGGGTTCACAATCGATGCCCTACTTGTAGACAAGAGCTCGGTGACATCCGTTGTTTGGCACTTGAAAAAGTAGCGGAGTCTCTTGAGTTACCGTGCAAGTACATGTCACTTGGCTGTCCCGAGATATTCCCTTATTACAGTAAGCTCAAACACGAGACCGTATGTGACTTCAGACCTTACAACTGTCCGTACGCTGGTTCAGAGTGTTCTGTTATGGGTGATATCCCTTTCTTAGTTGCTCATCTGAGAGATGATCACAAGGTGGATATGCATTCTGGGTGTACTTTCAACCACCGTTATGTCAAATCTAATCCTCGTGAAGTCGAAAACGCCACGTGGATGTTAACTGTAAGTATCACATGATAACTTGATAGCTATCTTTTATATGCTTATCAAAGTTTTCTTGTTTCAGGTTTTTCACTGCTTTGGTGAATACTTTTGTCTTCACTTTGAGGCATTCCAGCTCGGAATGGCTCCAGTTTACATGGCGTTCCTGCGTTTCATGGGGGACGAGACAGAAGCTCGGAACTACAATTACAGTTTAGAGGTGGGAGGCTATGGTCGGAAGCTGATTTGGGAAGGAACACCGAGAAGTGTAAGAGACAGTCACAGGAAAGTTAGAGACAGTCATGATGGACTGATTATACAGAGGAACATGGCTCTCTTCTTCTCAGGTGGAGACAGGAAAGAGCTGAAACTGCGAGTTACTGGAAGAATATGGAAAGAACAGCAGCAAAATGGTGAAGCTGGAGGAGGAGGAGGAGCTTGTATCCCAAACTTGTCTTAATAATCTTTTTTTTTTTGAAACTCTTACCGACTTGGCACTGTGTCTCTGTCTGTAACCATGGTTCTTGGATCTGTCTGTAATTAGTGGCTTTCTCTGTGATATAGTTACTATAAACTTGGGTTGTTCTTCCCTCTCTTAAATAGTTCATTACAAGTTTCATGTATCAAATTTTTAAAACTAAGTTATCTGTTACAAATTATGAATAATTATTATAAGATTCTTTAATCGCGAATTCCACTAGTTTTATTTTGCACTATATAATTAATCATACTTTCACTGCTGAAAAAATGAGAGAAAATTGAATCTGTGAAATCTTTATTAAACAAGAGAGAGTTTCACAGATGTAGTTACAAGAAGGTGGATGATTGAAATTAAGAATTCTCATTTCCCTGACATGGATCTGCACACTGGTGGAAATGGGATTGATCTGCACCACAATGTTGTTGGTTAGACAAAGATCATGCTTCTGCAATCCTTGTTGGATTTTCATTAACATCGTTGCCATGCCGTATCCAGAGGGAAACCGGGCATTGTTGATTGTTCCAATCCCATATGACATGCACACGTATTTAGATTTAACTGTTACCTCCTCATCATCATGAGAAGCTTTAGTTTGATCTCAAAACGCGGAGGGGGAGCACCTTTTAAATTTGGTAGCCATGATGAAAAGAAAAGAGTAAGCGAATCAGGAGGCAAGAGGATGAACAAAAGTCTTAGGGTTCGAGATTTCTTTCAAAACAATCTTCTTAACCTCTCTTTTAAATCTCTCTCTCGTTGCTATGTTGTTTTTCAGGATGTTTTGAAGAATGTAGAGACCACATCTATTCTATTAAAACAGAAGTACTAAGATTGAGAATAAGTCTGGAGAAGTCAACCATCTATATGACGGGAGTATCTCAGGCTATGAGGGATTTGATCCTGACAGATTTTCAATTTGAACTGGGAGATCTCCCTGGGCGTTATCTCGGGTTACCACTCATGACAAAAGGTATGAAGAGGAATGATTATATGCCTTTGATAGAGAACACGAGTTAATAGCTGGACAAGTAGGCCTTTATCCTATGCAGGACGTTACAATTGCTCAAGACCACCGTCATCATGAGTATAGTGAACTTTTGATCTTCAGCATTCAGACTTCCGAGCCAATGTTTAAAGGAAATCAAGAGTATTTGTCATGCATAATAGGCTTAGCACAGCAGATCGTATGGTGAGATGGAACAAGGAGGCTCCAACAGTGTATGTTCTCTGTAAAAACTCTTTTGAAACCCGCAACCACTTGTTCTTTACATGTGTTTATGCTTCTTGGATCTGTCACAACCGGACAAAAGGGATTCTTAATGAAAAATACTCATCGGATTGGTCTGAGATCGTCACGACATCTTTAGATACTCAGCTTGATTTTAAGTCAGGGATATTTGTCCGGTATCCTCAGCAAGCTGCATCTCAAAATGATATGTAGAGAACGGAATAGATGACTGCATGGTCAGCTGGCCACCTCTGCTCAAATGCTCGACTAGCTACTTGACAAAAATATTACGAATTGTGTCTCTCTTCGGAGACTCTTGGATAACAAGAAGCATGAAGGTCTCCTTCAGTTTTGGTTTGGCACAAGGATGTAATATTAATGTTTTCTGTTATAAATTCTTTATAGCTTACTGTTGCACTTGTTGTACAAAACTTTTTTTTTCTTTTTTATGAATATAATTTAACATTCATTCAGAAATATATATATATATATATATATATATATATATATAATATTTTTTAAAGAGACACATCAATACAAAAAATACACCAACTAAAAATTATTTATATGATCATTTTCATTAATTGTGAAAGATTTACAATAAGAAACTCTTGAACATGGACTGTGTATAATTTTTCAAAAATATATAAGAATAGCCACACCTTTTTAGATTATAGATAGTTATTTAAAATGGTATCTCTATAATATTTTTTTTGAAGAGACACATGATGACAAAAATACCCAAATTAGAAAACATTCATATGATCAAAAATACATTTTAATTATTTGTAAGAGATTTACAATAATAAACTCATGAATATGAACTATTTATAGTTTTTCAAAGCTATATCTATGAAAAATCACAACCTTTTAGATTATAGGTAGTTATTTTAAAATAGTATCTCTACAATATTTCTTGAAGAGACACATCATTAAAAAAATGCCCTAATTATACGATCAAAAACACATTTTATTTAATTGTGAAAGATTTACAATAAAAACTCATGAACATAGACTATTTATAGGTTTTCAAAGCTATATATGAATAGTTACAACTTTTCAGATAATATATAGTTATTTTTTAAAATGATATTTCTACAATATTAATTATATATATATATATATATATATATATATATATATATATATATATATATATATATATTTCTACAATATTATATGAAGAGACACATCATTACAAAAACTACACCAACTAAAAACATACATATGAAAAAAAAACATTTTAATTAATTGTGAACAATTTACAATAAGAAACTCATGAACATGGACTACTAATAGTTTTTCAAAGATACATATGAATAGTCACATATTTTCAGATTAAAGGTAGTTATTTTAAAATGGTATCCCTATAATATTTTTTTTGAAGATACACATCATGAGAAAAATACTCTAATTCAAAAACATTCATATAATCAAAAACAAATTTTAATTAACTGTGAAAGATTTACAACAAAAAACTCATGAAAATTGACTATTTATAGTCTTCCAAAAATTATATATGTATAGTCACAATTTTTTTAAATTATAGGTAATTATTTTAAAATGATACTTTTACAATATTGTTTGAAGAGACACATCATTACAAAAACACCCAAATTAGAAAACATTCATACGATCAAAGCCAATTCTTATTTGTTTGGTTTATGTATTTTACTAGATTTAGAAATCCAAGCTAAATTTTATTGGTTCTATGATTTTAAAGTTTATATGTAAATCTAAGTATTATTGGTTTTATGATTTTAAAATTAATTTTAAATCCAAATCAAATGCAGTGTTATTTTTTATATGATTTTAAAACCGTTTATTTTTTATATTAGTGATTTATTTAAAGATCTGATTTGCAATTGGATTTAATCGATTTATAAGTGTTTTTAAAACTAAAATAAAACCACTTGGTTGATTTACAATAATCCTATGTTAAAACTCTCTAGTCTAGGCTAGGAGCATGGGCTCAACCAAAAACATTCACTTCACCACATGTATTGTTGAACTCGTCTCTTCAGTTAGGTGGAGAAAAAGCTGTCATGTTTCACTCCAGGAGCACCTGTCGTCTTCGATGAAACAAAGGCCCGAAAGACTGGACATGGGATGACTAGCATAAATTCCTCTCAAGGTTATGCAACATTATCTTCATAAACTGTCTGACAAGAAAGAGGATAATCTTTCTGTTTCCCTGGGCCGCGAGAATGAATCCAGCTTCACAAAATCTGTACAGAGCAACAAAAAGCAGAATATTTATAAGATGGTACACTTAAGGTAATTGTTCCACCACATGTTTTGCTACAAGGTTTAGCGAACCAGAAATAGTACATCATAGGATATATTTGTAGATGTTCTCCACCTCCAGGTGGTATGATCTATGAGGTCTTCAATAAGCTGGAGTAGGAATTGCAGAATTACCATTACGAATTTGGGTGAATCAAATTATCTATTCCACATATCTGATGCAGGATCTTTGGCGATTCCAATTATCTATTCCACATATGTGGTCTTCAATAAGTTATGGATCATTGGCGTATCAACGATTGTCTAATGTTTGTTGCTCTGAGGACTCCAGAACCGATTTTAGGGATAACCTAAGATTCCAGGAATTAGTCACATAGCTTCTGGATTATGAGCTCCAATGATGACTCACAAGCTTCGTTTGAATCCCATTCAAATGGGAGAAGCAAAAATTCTAGTTGAGCTAGAGCTGAGTTATTTTTCCACCACGAATTGCTGCAAGTGATCAAACAGGTTTTACAAATCCATGATGTCTCTATCAACTTTTCAAACAATTCTTCTCAGTTCAACTTGTTTAGCTTCTAAAATTTTGGAATCTTCACAAAGGAAAATTTGGAGAAGGAAACGGAAATTAGGAGATGCGTACCATCACTAATCCACTAAGTGTCTTGGCTATGTTGCGGACACACAACTAAATATTATCTATCCACATCAAAAACAAACACGCTCAAAGCCTCAAAGACAAAAGGAGTCAGATTTCCAAGCAAATCCGAATAAAAGACATGTTCTTACTTCATCCTCCAGCCACGAATCTGTTGATGATAAGACGAATAAATAAAAAGGAAAGGACATTGGAATAATCAAGTTTTCAATGAGCAGTCTACTCAACACTCTTGGAAAAGACCCGGAGATATCTGATCAATCGTCAAAAATCCAAGAGAATATATAGTCTTCGACTGCAAAATCTATTGCCAAAATTGAACATCTCTCATATTCAAGTTCAAGTGACTATGAGATTGTGGGAATCGAAATTCACCCCTGTCGATTTTACGTAAATTTAGGAACTTAGGGAAAACCCTAATTTCCTAGAGGACCCGACTATCAGCGGAACCGCACACAAGCAATCAAGTAAACAAAGAGAATAAGTAAAATATAATAAAAACGAGATTGAGAGCAAGAAGGTGTCTTATTCTGAATTCTCGTACGAACGGTACAACGAGAGTAAGCCTCAGCTGTGTGAGCCGTCGGCGAGATTCCTAGTTTTAGAAATCCCCCTACGAAATTACCTCCCTACGAAAGTCGTGTTGACAGAGTCGTATTGACAGATCCGCTCACGCTAAGGAATAGCAAGTGGCATGATCAAAACTTGCGAGAGGAGGATAGAAATCTAAGCTCATAAGAGATGAGTTAAGTTCTTGAAAACTAGAGAGAACTTAGAGAGACATTATAGAGAGATAAACTAGAGAGAGGTTTTTATGAAATTATTTGATGATTATTTTACAAGGGGGTACACACATATTTATAGGGGAGAGGCTAAGGCACTGACATAAGCGCTTACCTCAGCCATTGTGATTACATCATCGCTTACATCATTATTGGACATACTTATTTTACATAATTAAACACACATAATTTAGACATATTATTCATAACATAATTTAATGACCTTTTTAGTGGTCTATCTTGAACTCAGTGATGTGTTTGTCGCTGCATCTGTAGTGATCATCTGGGCATATGT